TGAGAGGATGGTAGAAGTGAGTCTTAAATATTTGTTTTCTGCATTGCATTATGTTCTTACAACAGGGTAATATATATAGATCTTGATTAATTAATATAGGAGGAGACTTTGATTTAAGAAGTTACAGTAAAACGAACAAGTCTAACATAATCATGACCAAAACTCTACCCACACAAAAATAAAGTGGAATCCTAAAATGCTTACTTATGACAAATACTTGATGGCTCCTAGTTCTTCTTTGAAATCATTTAACTGATAAGATATTTCCATGGTAAGTATTCCTTGGCCTCAGTTTTCCTCCCACTAGTCTGATTATTCCCTTTATTGGGCAGGTGTAACCACAAAACAAAATAAGTCTGTTGTCACTTTGTAAGTCGTGTAATTTAGAGAAGTGATTGCTTATTTTACCATCAGTGTTGCTAACCACCTTTTCACTATCGTATGGCTTGCTGATGTGTTTGTTGGGACCATTGCACAGTGTATTTCTTGTGTTCACAAATTACATTGTTCATCAGAGATAAGTAGCACTGCTAAAGAATAAAAGTTGATCACAAAAAAATTTACATTACGTAGGGAGTAATTCTTAATTAAACCTTAGTGTTCGTGAAAATCACTTGAGAAAAACTGAAGTGCAGATTCCCATGAGCACCAACAGAGAATTTGATTCAAGATTCGGAGATGAGCCCAGAATTGACTTGGCGGGGGGACCCTAAGACTCCCAGGTAATTCTTTATGCGAGTGGTTCACACACTCCTGTTTGAGAAACATCGACTGGACCTAAAAGTCTTTATAATGCTCAGTTTTTGGAAATTGTGTAGAGAGGCAAGCACCGCATGAAGTTATTAATTTGAACGCGTGGTGGCAGTACAGGCTAAGAGACTAAATCTAAGCTCCGCAGATCCGGTGGACGCCATTTCACCGAGAAACCCAAGAAAAAATACTGGACACATTTAAGCTAAAGCCAAAATAGACGTGTTCCGGAAGGCAGTCATCGCCAGAGAAGTTAAAAGAACGAATTTTAAACTCTTTAGCAAAGACATTTTGGAGGGTCGACGGTGGATGTGGTGATTGGGAGCGAAAAAGGATTTTTCCTCTGAAATCAGGCATAACAATAGAAATGGCGCAAACAAAAGGACATCGCAAGAAAAGGCAAGTGGTAACCTTCATTATATTGATGCTTTTGTGGGAGGTGGGTTCAGAACTCATACAATATTCTGTATTGGAGGAGACAGAGAGTGGCACATTTGTGGCCAACTTGACAAAGGACCTGGGACTCAGGAGCGGAGAGCTGGCTGCGCGGGGAGCACGGGTTGTTTTCAAGGGGAACAGACAGCATTTGCAACTTGACCCACAGACCTATGATTTGCTGCTAAATGAAAAACTGGACCGGGAGGAGCTGTGCGGCGCCACTGAGCCATGTTTGCTACCCTTTCAGGTGTTACTGGAAAATCCTTTGCAGTTTTTCCAGGCTGCCTTGCAAGTGGGAGATATAAATGACCACGCCCCGGAGTTCCCGGCCAGAGATATGCTCCTAAAAATATCAGAAATCACTGCTCCAGGAAAGATATTTCCTTTGAAAATGGCACAGGATTTAGACGTGGGTAGCAACAGCCTTCAGAGCTACACAATCAGCTCCAATTCTCACTTCCGCGTTCTCACCCGCAGTCGCAGCGACGGCAGGAAGTTCCCGGAGCTGGTGCTGGACAAAGCGCTGGACCGTGAGGAACAGCCTGAGCTCAGGCTAACCCTCACCGCGCTGGATGGGGGGTCTCCGCCCCGGTCAGGGACCATAGAGATTCAGATCTGGGTCTTGGACAGCAATGACAACGCCCCAGAGTTTGCTCCGGAACTCTATGAGGCGCAAGTCCCTGAAAACAGCTCCCTGGGCTCTCTGGTTATCACCGTCTCAGCGAGAGATTTAGACGCAGGATCCTTTGGAGAGGTATCTTATGCCCTACTTCAAACCGACGACGTTGACCAGCCCTTCGAAATAAACGCAATCACAGGCGAAATTCGACTGAGAAAGACATTGGATTTTGAAGAATTTCAATCTTATCACGTGGATGTTGAGGCCACAGATGGCGGGGGACTATCAGGAAAATGTTCCATAGTCATCAAGGTTCTGGACGTGAATGACAACGCCCCGGAATTGGCCATGTCCTCGCTCAGCAGCGCCATCCCTGAAAACCTGCCAGACACGATAGTGGCAGTTTTCAGTGTATCCGATGCAGATTCTGGACATAATCAACAGGTTATTTGTTCTATAGACGATAATCTCCCCTTTCTTCTAAAACCGTCGGCGGAGAATTTCTACACCTTGGTAACAGAAGGAGCTCTGGACAGAGAAAGCCAAGCGGAGTACAACATCACCATCACCGTCACCGACTTGGGGACCCCCAGGCTGAAAACCCAGCACAACATCACCCTGCTGGTGTCCGACGTCAACGACAACGCCCCCGCCTTCACCCAAACCGCCTACACCCTGTTCCTCCGCGAGAACAACAGCCCCGCCCTGCACATCGGCAGCGTCAGCGCCACAGACAGGGACGCGGGCGCCAACGCCCAGCTCACCTACTCGCTGCTGCCGCCCCGCGACCCGCGGCTGCCCCTGGCCTCGCTCGTGTCCATCAACGCGGACAACGGCCACCTGTTCGCCCTGAGGGCGCTGGACTTCGAGGCGCTGCAGGCGTTCGAGTTCCGCGTGGGCGCCACGGACCGCGGGTCGCCCGCGCTGAGCAGCCAGGCGCTGGTGCGCGTGCAGGTGCTGGACGCCAACGACAACGCGCCCTTCGTGCTGTACCCGCTGCAGAACGGCTCTGCGCCCTGCACCGAGCTGGTGCCCAGGGCGGCCGAGCCGGGCTACCTGGTGAGCAAGGTGGTGGCGGTGGACGCAGACTCGGGCCAGAACGCCTGGCTGTCGTTCCAGCTGCTCAAGGCCACGGAGCCCGGGCTGTTCGGCGTGTGGGCGCACAATGGCGAGGTGCGCACGGCGCGGCTGCTGAGCGAGCGCGACGCGGCCAAGCACAGGCTGCTGGTGCTGGTCAAGGACAATGGCGAGCCCGCGCTGTCGGCCAGCGTCACGCTGCACGTGCTGCTGGTGGATGGCTTCTCGCAGCCCTACCTGCCGCTGCCCGAAGCGGCGGCCGACCCGGCGCAGGCCGACCCGCTGACGGTGTACCTGGTCATCGCGTTGGCGTCGGTGTCGTCGCTGTTCCTGTTCTCGGTGCTGGCGTTCATCGCGGTGCGGCTGTGCAGGCGGAGCAGGGCCGCCTGGGCGGGTGGCTGTTCGGTGCCTGAGGGCCACCTTCCGGGCCACCTGGTGGACGTCAGCGGCACTGGGACCCTGGGTGGGTGGCTGTTCGGTGCCTGAGGGCCACTTTCCGGGCCACCTGGTGGACGTCAGCGGTACTGGGACCCTGTCCCAGAGCTACCAGTATGAGGTGTGTCTGACAGGAGGCTCAGGGGCCAGTGAGTTCAAGTTCCTGAAGCCGATTCTCCCCAATTTCCCTCCTCAAGAATCTTGGGAAGGAAATGAAGGAAAACCCTACTTTTCGGAATAGCTTTCCATTCAGTTAAGTATTGTATGGTTCTGCTAAACCCTACTTAATAAGTTTGAAAATCTCTTTTTAACATAAAGTTACATGCTATTGATGGTCCCCTTTTTTTTATTTTATTACTTTACTACTGTTCCTTAGGGTAAAATTAAAAGAAATTCAGATATTGCATATACACAGCATTTTTCCTACATTACGCTTAGTAGTTTTGAAATTATATTTGACTATATTTGACAATCTGAATAAAAAGTAAATTTTTACTTGCATAATTTAAAATTTTTGAAATTTAAGAATCTATCTCTTTACAAAAATTATATTCCAACGTTCTTAAGTGTGATTCTATTTCTAACTATTGGTGACAACGTTATCACTATTGCTATGTAGAGAAAAATTTTAAATGATTGTTATTATTTAATCTGCCAGTTTAAGTCTGATTTAGGGGTAACATCTATAGGGTGATGAAATAAAGATATACACTAGTGAGGGCTAAATAATAAGATAGCCAGCCATATTTATGTATATTTCAGTAACCATAATAGTCAATACATATTTTCTGTGAATATAGACTTTACAAAACTGTCATCACATTTAATTATAGTTTGTGAGCTTCATGTAAGAATAGGATGATCTTTTTAAAACACCGACCAGACCAATTATAAATGCTTAACAAATATTTTCTGAATGTTAACATTCCTATAGTGAATTTAAAAAATAATTTTCAAGGGATACAGAAATGCTAATATTCTTTCTACACCATAGTGCCCTTGCCAATAAGTGAAATTATTAAATATCACTCTTACTTTTCCTCTAGAAAACATCTTCCATTAACCCAAAACTCTATTACAGAACATAAAATGCTTGAGAATACATTTTATTTCCTTGTCTTTATCCAACTATTTGAAAGATGTAAGGTATTATATTGTTTAGTAAAATCCAAATCATATTTTCCAAACTCCTCCTCCTAGTTTCTTAAACTTCTATATATGTAATATCTGCTGAGAACTAAATAAGTTATTAGTGCCAGTTTATTGGAGAATGCCAGTTTTTCCCTTCCTGTTCTGCATATGCATTATTTATATTTATTAACCATAAAATCATTTACTTTAATAGTTTAACTATATTTGGTCTTTTTTGTGTTGGTTATGTTTTATGAAAAAATTCCTCTTTTCAATTTTCCATCAAAGTTAGGCAATTTACACTAAAGTGACGAGTAAGTGAATATTTTATGTTTCTTTTAAATATTTTACTGATTTCAGAGAGGAAGGGAGAGGGAGAGAGAGACAGAAACATCAATGACGAGAGAGAATCATTGATCAGCTGTCTCCTGCATGCCCCACACTTGGGATCAGGCCCAAAAACAGAGCCTGAAACCCTGGGCATGTGCTCTGACATGAATTGAACTATGACCCCCCTGGTTCATAGATCTACACTCAACCACTGAGCCACACCAGCTGGGCAGAATATTTTATTTTTATCCTTAATTAAAATGGAAGTGGGCGTAACTAAATTATGTTTGTCTGTGTTTTGTATCCAAACAAGTGAACTGCCATGGCTCTTATGTCATGGATGATCACCAATTGGGTCAATGAGTGTAGGGAACACTTACTGTTTTGTATTCCCATATATTCACCTTCTCCTTGGAGTAGCATTCTTCCTTGGGGGAAACTGCTTATTCTGACATTCTCACTCCAACTCCCAAGGCTTTAGTTGACGCAGTGTTGTTTTTCAATAGCCCTATCTCTATTGTCCCAGGGGATGGACTCTTATCAAAGCTGACAGGTCAAACCCCTTCCCTGGAAAGTATATCTTTGACTCCATTGACTTTATGCCTTCTTCATGTTCTTCCAAAGACATTGCCTGAACTCACAGCTTATAGTGACTTCTAATAAAATAAATGGGCATTTTCTCTGAACGTTACAGGCTGTGCACATAAGGAGTTTATGAAGGAAAAAAATTCTCAAAGGCTATGCAGCCCAGAGACTGACAATACAACATCTCCCCTCCCCCCCAGGAGATACAGGTACATTCCCATTTGTTTGGATTTAAAAATTCATAACTTCTAACACAATAGAACACATTAGTATTCTGGTAATAGAATGTAAGCTCCTCAGGAGCAAGAATTTTTGTGTTTCCCGTCTCATCTCCGGAAGCTAGGGAATTTTCTGCCCAGTGAAATACTTACTGAATGACTCAATGAATTTGTCTTCAGCCGAGTTTTGAATAATGAAATTGTACCTTTATAAAGAAGATGAATATAGATAAATAGGAATTACTTTGCTCTCACAACTAATGCTAGCTACCTGAACAAGACTGCATAATAGGCGAGGGGGAAAGGAGTACCCAAAAAGGCATTCAGCCCGTTTTTTTTGCTCTTACATTGTGCTTTGAAATGAAAACTACCTGAAGTTGTAAAACAGAACGCTGGGTGGCGCTGCAGGACAAGAGAGTAAAAACCTCTCCAGGATTGCTAGACTACGTAAAGCCGTAAAGCCGTCTCCGACCGCTTGCAAAGGAAGCATTTTACACCACCCGGGCTAGAGGGTTTCAGAGAGGCCGCTATCCCCATCCCCGCGTCAGTCAATGTTAGGAACTGACTCGAGATTTTTGAACTAAGATAGCAGAGTTGGCTGCAAAGCAATCATTTTGTGATTTCATACTGGATCGTTTGGACAAGGAGGAAGGATGGAGACGCCGCTCCCCAAAGCGCCCCGGAAAAGGCAAGTGACTGCCATTATTATTCTATTACTATTGTGGGAGGCGGGCGGTGCGACCCTTAACTATTCCGTTCTAGAAGAGAGGGAGAGCGGCTCTTTTGTGGCCAACCTCGCAAAAGATCTGGGTCTGGGCTTAGGGGAGCTGGCCGCGCGTGGCGCCCGGATTCTATCCAAAGGGAACAGACAGCATTTGCAGCTCGAGCAGAAGAGTGGGTATTTGCTCCTCCAAGAAAAATTGGACCGGGAAGAGTTGTGTGGTGACACGGATCCGTGCATACTGCATTTCCAGGTGTTACTGAAAAACCCGCTGCAGTTTATTCAAGGGGAACTCCAGCTCCGAGATGTAAATGACCATGCCCCCGAATTCTTGGGACAGGAAATCCTCCTGAAAATCCCGGAAAGCAGCCAGCCCGGGACTGCCATTCCTTTGAAAACAGCTCAGGATTTAGACGTGGGCAGCAACACCGTTCAGAACTACACCATTAGCACCAACCCGCATTTCCACCTGTTCACTCGCAGTCACAGCGATGGTAGGAGATACCCCGAGCTGGTGCTGGACAAAACACTGGACCGTGAAGAGCAGTCAGAGCTCAGGTTAACCCTCACGGCGCTGGATGGTGGGTCGCCGCCCAGGACGGGGACTTCCCAGGTTGTCGTTGCGGTCCTGGACATAAATGACAACGCCCCTGAGTTTGCTCAGCTGCTCTATGAGGTGCAGGTCTCAGAGAACAGCCCTGTGGGCTCCCTGATCATCACCGTCTCCGCTAGAGATTTAGATGCTGGGACCCATGGCGAGCTCTCCTACTCGTTTTTCCAATCATCAAATCAAGCCATTCAGGTGTTTGAAATAAACGCAGTCACGGGAGAACTTCGGTTAAAAAGAATGCTGGATTTTGAGGAAATTCGGTCTTACCGTATGGAAATTGAGGCCTCAGACGGTGGAGGCCTTTCTGGGAAATGCACCGTAGCCATAGAAGTGATGGATATAAATGACAACGCCCCGGAATTGACCATGTCATTACTCATCAGTGACATCCCAGAAAACACCCCAGACACGGTGGTAGCTGTTTTTGGAATTTCAGATCCAGACTCTGGAGACAATGGCAAAATGACTTGTTTCATCCAAGACCATCTCCCCTTCCTACTGAAACTTACTGTAGACAATTTCTACACCCTGGTAACAGAAGGAGCGCTGGACAGAGAGAATCAGGCCGAGTACAACATCACCATCACGGTCACCGACATGGGGACCCCCAGGCTGAAAACCCAGCACAACATCACCCTGCTGGTCTCCGATGTCAACGACAACGCCCCCGCCTTCACCCAAACCGCCTACACCCTGTTCCTCCGCGAGAACAACAGCCCCGCCCTGCACATCGGCAGCGTCAGCGCCACAGACAGGGACGCGGGCGCCAACGCCCAGCTCACCTACTCGCTGCTGCCGCCTCACGACCCGCGGCTGCCCCTGGCCTCGCTCGTGTCCATCAACGCGGACAACGGCCACCTGTTCGCCCTGAGGGCGCTGGACTTCGAGGCGCTGCAGGCGTTCGAGTTCCGCGTGGGCGCCACGGACCGCGGGTCGCCCGCGCTGAGCAGCCAGGCGCTGGTGCGCGTGCAGGTGCTGGACGCCAACGACAACGCGCCCTTCGTGCTGTACCCGCTGCAGAACGGCTCTGCGCCCTGCACCGAGCTGGTGCCCAGGGCGGCCGAGCCGGGCTACCTGGTGAGCAAGGTGGTGGCGGTGGACGCAGACTCGGGCCAGAACGCCTGGCTGTCGTTCCAGCTGCTCAAGGCCACGGAGCCCGGGCTGTTCGGCGTGTGGGCGCACAATGGCGAGGTGCGCACGGCGCGGCTGCTGAGCGAGCGCGACGCGGCCAAGCACAGGCTGCTGGTGCTGGTCAAGGACAATGGCGAGCCCGCGCTGTCGGCCAGCGTCACGCTGCACGTGCTGCTGGTGGATGGCTTCTCGCAGCCCTACCTGCCGCTGCCCGAAGCGGCGGCCGACCCGGCGCAGGCCGACCCGCTGACGGTGTACCTGGTCATCGCGTTGGCGTCGGTGTCGTCGCTGTTCCTGTTCTCGGTGCTGGCGTTCATCGCGGTGCGGCTGTGCAGGCGGAGCAGGGCCGCCTGGGCGGGTGGCTGTTCGGTGCCTGAGGGCCACCTTCCGGGCCACCTGGTGGACGTCAGCGGCACTGGGACCCTGTCCCAGAGCTACCAGTATGAGGTGTGTCTGACTGGAGGCTCCGGATCAAATGAGTTCAAATTCTTGAAGCCTATTATCCCTAACCTCCTACCCCAAGGCACTAATGAAGAAATAGAGGAAAATGCCACCTTCCAGAATAACTTCGGATTCAATTAGGAATCGCATCATGATGCAGTGTCTTTTGTAATATCTTTAGTTCCTCCAGGTACAGAGTTTGAGAGCGTCATGGACAAGAATCCTAACTTTAAGTGTAGCCTGGATTTCCCTTTTGGGTGTCAGTGGAGTGGGGACCAGTATGAGGTGTGTCTGAACAGAAGCTTAGGAAACAGCGAGTTCATGTTCCTCAAACCAACTGTTGGCAAGTTTATGGGTGAAGGGGCTGGTAGGGACACCAAGGAAAACTCTAACTTTACAAATAACTTTGAGTTCAATCAGGAATCTCATCTTGAAAAGACCTGATAAATGATAATATACATCCGGGTATTTCCCAACCCTTGTATTCACAGAAAGGGCTTACATATTCACACATTCATGATTATTGCCATATTTATAGTTATTGCAACCTGTTGAAGTATTTCATATTCTGAATCTCTAGGTGTTTTGTTGTTTTGTCAGGTTTCCCCCCCCTCACATTTTGCATGATCCTACAGTAGCAGAGCACTGGTGTTTCTCGGGATTTCGGGGTAAGATTTTTGGAAGTTACAAATGTTTTCAGATTCCTGATATTTTAGCTTGTTCACTGATATATTGTTATGATTAAGAGAATTGTGTTTAATGATTATCATCAGCATGAGTCTAACTAAGGTAAATGATGGCTTTTAGTTTTAAAAATAATTTTCATTTTTGCAAAAATTACTGTGACCTTGTAAATTATTTGATTCCTGTAATGTTGTTTCAAAAACACTGCCGTAGTTTTTCAAATGAACTAATATTTTAGCTGAGTTGAGTGTTTTCTTTCAAAATTGAGAGCATTTAGTTAGACCACCTGCTATAATTTTAAATGATTCAATTCCTGTTAAATAGAAAAAAGTAGAAAAATATTGGTAGACGTATGATTACCTTTTTATAATAAATGGTTTTGAGTATGTAAATGATTCTCATTCTTTTAATATACACATGATTCAAATATATTCAATAAGAAAGAAGAAAGCAAATTAACATCATTATTCCAGCACTCAAAAGCAGTTGTTAATATTAAGTCAACATCATTCTAAAAATATTTCTATGATTTAATATAAGTTAATAGATGGAAACAGTACTGTAAACTGGACCTATAACGCATGGCTAGCTCTATAATGAAAACTATCAGATTTTATTTGCATATAATGAGACTGTAGAACTCATTATATGAAACTATAGAACTTGCTTGAGCTTAATTAAATAATCCCTATAAGGTTAAAAACAATATTAATATATTAACGTAATTTAACTGCCTGCTTTAAAATGAACAAGTCAAACCTTACACTTTTACCCTCTTCTCACCTTATTTTAGACTTTTTATTATACTAGTATATATGCATATAACATATAAAATGTATATTAAAAGGGTAATTCTCATAATTGTTTAGACATTTTATGCTGTAGACATTTAATTTGTTATACAGTGCTACAAACTTTTCAATATTACTCAAGTCTGTACAGATGTAACACCTTTTGAAGCATTTTACTGTGTTTCCATGATATTTACTTCCATATTTCTAAATAATATGCTTATAAAATGCTTTCATTCAAATTTTAGATATTATCCATTTACTTTTCTTTAGGGGCACGTACACACACATACATACTTGCACATTTTTCTACCCATTCCTCTCTCATAGCAACATTATATAAAATTCTGTTTTAATAGTGTTTATGTAATTACGACTATGGAAATATTGCTTATAATAGAACCTCATGATGTACTGAGATTTTGTTTCTTTTCTTTGACTCATTTTCGCTTTACTTTCAATGTATAGATTTTTAACTTATCCCTATACTTTCTAAAGTCTAAAACTCCTCATTGTATTATTAAACTCACCAAGAAATCTCTCAGATCCACTATTTTTTCTTGGAGCCATCCTGGAGCTATCCAGACTCCTGCTCAATTGTATATTATTTGCTTTGTAGACCTGTTGTATAGCTGGCAGTTTGGAACTCGCTTTATCCATCATTCTGGGAATTTCTTTTGTCTCCTGAACTTAATTTCATTTTCTGGACTTTATGTCTTCCTCCTTTTTGGTTTACTGCCTTGAGTTCTGAAGACTATTTGGTAATACATTTATTAATTTTTTGAACATGTGAAAATTTCAGATGTTAGAAAATCAAATTTTTATTTTGTTTGGTATAGAATTTTAAGTTAGGAATTATTTGCTGCTTAGTATTTTGAAGGCATTCCTTGACTTGTCTCTCTGCTGTTTACTTTTCTCCCATTTGTTTTGTCTTTATAGGTCCATTTATTTTAAATTTTTGCTCTCTATTGCTTAGATGAGGTTTCAGGAGGGAATTGAGATAAATTGGTGTGCCCAAACAGGAATGGAACGCAGTCTTCACTGTTATTTTATCCCAGCTTTCCCAGACCTCAGTCATTTCTATTTTTTCATCCTTTGGTTTGCTGTATTTCATCAGATGTAGTTCTTTAAAGGAGAGAGAGAGAGAGAGAGAGAGAGAGAGAGAGAGAGAGAGAGAGAGAGAGAGAGAGAGAGATGAGGGAGGAGACTGGTTGCCTTCCATACACTCCCAATCAGAGGATAGAACCCAGGGTAACCTGGGTATGTGCCCTGACCCAGAATCAAACCTTCCACCTTTTGGTGTATGGGGCATGCTCCAATGAACTGAGACGCACCAGCAGGGCTACATGCTGTATGTCTTAAATTCTCACATACTTGAGAAGTACAATTTTTCTGGGCATAAAATTTTTCAGTCAACTTTCTTTTCCTCATAGATTTGTTGACATCAAATATTACATTAGTCATTTCATCATAGTTTCTCTATATTTTTCTATAAGTAGGCTATATTTCATTCTTAAGTAGTTCTTTTCAATAAGCTCTCATGAATGCTAATGAAATGTTTTATGATTTTTTTCCCCATTTGCTGCATTGTTTTCTTTATATTTGACCAACATCTTAGCTAGGTATAAAATTATTGAGCCATAATTTCTTTCCTTCAGAACCTGGTAGAGATTTCCATTGTATTCTAGCATTAAATGTTGATGAGGATTAAGTTTGAAGCCCATTTTCATTACCTATAGGTTACTTATTTTCTATTTTTAAACTTCATTGTCTTTCTCAGGTTATGTCTTGATTTTGATAATTTTGTATCACTTTTTTTCTGGAACTCAGTGTACCCTTTCAGTCTGTTTCACACAGGTATTTTTCAAGTATGTCATTTGTTTATTTATATCTACTATGTATAACTGGTTTCTAAATCTGATACTTCCAATATGTGAAGTTTGTGTGGGTCAACTTTTGCTGCATTGTTTCTGATTCTTCTTATTCATGTTGTCTTTATTTTTTTGTGACTTATATGGTTGATTACCCTTAAATATTTATTTGTAAGGTGTCCTCAAAGCCTAGGCTGTATGGTCCAGATTTTCAGTAGTTTCGGCCAGGATTCTAGAAACACTATCAGTAGGGGACCACCACAAACCAAATTTATGGTTTGAGGTTCCTTGAAACTCAATTTATGAATATTCAAAATACAAACACACATGAGGACCAAACCTAGGCTCAAATTCCCAGGCATGGTTTCTTTTCTTTTTCTTCTGCTCTACTTAACACCAGGGATCCTTCTCTATAATTCCCTGGAGTTGGAGGAAGGGGTCAGGTTTAGATTTGTTGGTGTTATACTGTTTTTATATTGTTGATCTAGACCTGTGGGGCCCTTTAAAATGGGAGGGTCTTCCCATAATATGCTGCACCTTTGGTTGGCCTTGAGCCTTGATTTATATTTCTTTAAGTCCAAATAGCTTTAGGTCAAAGCTTGATAGCAAATATTTTCAAAAGCTCTGTGGGCTTATAATAAGTTTTGTTATCCTGACACACTGTTTACCCCATATTACAGGCTTTCATAAAAATGGGCACCCTCACCAAGTGGTTCAGTTGGTTGGAGAATCATCCTATACACCAAAAAGGTTGTGGGTTTGATTCATGGCACATACTTAGGATGCTGGTGATCCCCATGAGGGTCAGGGCACATATTGGAGTTTTGCACCCCCCCTCTCTCTTCCTCTCTCTCTCTCTCTCTCTCTCTCTCTCTCTCTCTCTCTCTCCCCCTCTCTCTCTCTCTCTTTCTTTCTTTCTCTGATCAACAAACATATCCTTGGTTCAGGATGTTTTTAAAGTTTTAAAAGGAAATAGAATAGATACAGATACTATACGTGCTTGGGAAGCATCATTGATTCAAAGGGTCTTGTCCCAGCAATTGAATTTATTACTTTATTGCTTTGAGGGCTAAGCTTTCAGTAAAAAAAGAACTCTTTTGGCTACAAAACACACCACCAATATGAAGAAATAAAATCATACGCTCTGCTAATAACTAATTAAATCAATTTATTTGACTCTATCTGTTTCTACTGGCAATAGGGGCTACAGGTGTGATCCGAGTGGGTATGATATATACTACTAATTTTACTCAAATATATGTCTCCTCCCCTTATTTATTACAAATATACCTCCAGCATTTTAGCTGCCTATGTGGATATGTGTGTTATAGATTATATTTCCCAACCACTGTTGTGAGTGGGAGTGGTCTTGTAACTAAGTTACAGCCAGAGAGAGATACTAAGCCCTAGTGCCATGGAATACTTCATGAAAGTAGTCTTTAAAAGGAAGGTGCAGTCTTTTCTTTCTCCTATTTGTTAGTCTGAATAGAAATTTAATGGCTGGATATTAGACAGTTATCTTGGACTATGAGGTGAAGGCCATGTTCTGAAGATGGTAAAGCAACAAGATGGAACAAGACTGGGTCCCAGATATCATGGAGCGCAATTCAGCCACTAGTTTTCTTTTATGAGAGAAAAATAAAATTCTATATCGTGTAAGCTATTGTTGTTATGGGCTTGTCTATAGCTTCAGGCTGAAATTATATAGAACATATTCATATGTAGAAAATACATAGAATGTAATTCTAGCTGATATAGTAAGCTTTTAATAAAGTGATATTTAAGTTAAGAACCAAAGAATGAACAGAGAAATTGTGAGACTTACATGCATATTTTAGAAATCAAGGTTTATTGAGAACAGGCAAAGCAAACAACTAAAGATTTAAGAATAAACTACCTGCTATTAATAACAGGTGAGAAAAGAAGTTATTGCATCTAAGAAATAAGTACAGAAAGAGGGCCCTTGTAAAGTATGAATGTAATAAATAGAAGTTTTAATAGAAGGGCTTGAAGACAGAATTAAGAAAATATCCCAGGTAATATTGCAAAAGTATTTAAAAATATCAAACAGGAGAGGAAAAAAAAACAAAAAAATAAGAGTTCATAGCAGAGGTCCAACATCTGAATTGTAGTACTAATTCAAAAAAAAAAAAAAAGGAGCAGAAGAATTTCAATGAAGTAATTCAAGAAAATGTCTAAGAGCTGTAGGAAATTAGTTTCCTAGTTGAAAGAGTTTACCAATTTTCCTGTACAATGGATGAAAATAAGCTCAAACCAAGATACATCAGTGTTAAATTTGGACAGTGACAACATACTACAACAAGAAATAAAAATACAGGACACATATAGAAGATATAAAATACCATTCACTTTCGACTTCTTAACAAAGACATTGATTTAAGGGCTCATTGACAAAATATTTTTAAATTATGAAAATTATTTTCAACCTAAAACTCTATAATCAGTCAAACTTCCAATCAAGTTTGAGGGTAAAGTTAAAATAATTTAATACACTTAAGGTCACAACATAATTTAACTCTCATCTACCATTCTCTACTGGAAGATATTAAAATGAATGGGTAATCTAAGAGGAAGTCTGAAGAAATAGAAAGAGGATCAAAAACAGAATAGAGATGAAATGAATCTCTAGGTGATGTTATAGGATGATCCCAAGATGACAGTTGTGTATCAAATATAGACTAGTCCAGGTTGGATGTGTCTGAGACAGGCATTTTGAAGGATATCATCAAGTCCCCTGGCACATATTAATTGGATGAAACTATTGGATTATGTGATCTATTAAAGTTCCCAAATAAACAAACAAAAGAAGAAGAAATAAAATCCTAGAAAAAGGAGATCCAAGCAGAATAAAAGGCTAAGAAAAATTCCAAGAATGATAACAAAGGGAAATCCCAGAGTGAAAGCTGTGTAGCAGGTGTAGATACCACCCACCCAATTTAAGGGAAAATTCATATTTTGGGAGATATTGGAATGACCATGTGCAAAATTGTACTGAGGCAGTTAGAAGTGTGGGAAGAATACATTATATATATAAAGAAAACCAAGTAAATGAAAAAGCAAAGCAATTGTTAACCTCAAGAAAAAAGTGAGAAAA